GTTTCTGACGACATGTCAAATAACGAGGATGGTATAGAATCTACCGACTGTTGTCAGGTACCCATACAATCAACAAATACATTCACGCCAGGATTCTTCACAAAATGAGCAAAGAGAAAAGTTCGAATTAACTTCCCAAAATAACTCCCTCGTGGAGGGCAAGGTCGGATTTACGGTGTTCACTGTATTTGTCCATGCGCGAAATTTGTTCCGGGGGAAAATCGAAACAATTTCAAATCTAACTTTCAGCTCAAAGTTCTATTGATAAACTTAAATCACCATATAGACATATCATAGGCAATTGTATTGATACTGAATTGTGGAATAAAATTGAAGTGTTTGTTAAAATTCCAAAGTACTACTTTGTTTGTACTCAGCACGCGACAATACGCTGTTCAAACTATTGAACGAAATTGTGTGGACTATCGATAAGGCGGGCATTTTTAATTTTAAATATCAATTATAAGTTAAAAAAAGGACATATGAGGCAGAGAAAACGTAAATATAAGTATTGAACTGTTTTTGTATGGTATTTATGATCTATTTGAATGACACAGAATTGCAAGAAAACAAAGCATAATGCGCTAGCGGGCATTATGTTGCTTGCTTGCAAAACTGTGTCATTCAAAAAGATCATAAATACCATTCAAAAACAGTTCAATGCTTAATTTACTCTTACATTTTAGTCATCATTGTTGACGTTTGCAATTGTAACGTGAACATTTGTGAATTTTGTTTATGTGCTCAAATATTTATCAATTATGGACTTGTCTTGAGGTAAATATGTGGTTATATAGACCCGAGAAAGTGATATTGACCGAGATGAAGTCTTAAACTGTTCTATTAGATGCTTAATCATGTTTTATTCCGTTAAATAGATGCAACGTATTAAAACCGTACGGAGGAGAGTACTGCTTTTGACATTGACAAAAAGCATTGTGACGTCTCAATAAAAATGACTTTATATACATGTAAAATGAATATTGACCTCTTGTTTCTAAAAATAGTAGGATCGAATCAATATCACACTATACCGACCTTCTCGTGAATATGATCCAGCCAGTAAGTATATGTCAAATCTTACATGGAAGTTAAGTTTATAATCTTCACTAAATTAAAATCATCAATGGGAAATAAAACAGATGTTGGGAGAGGACAAGTGATCAGACAACCTATATAGCGATGGAAAATCAGTCGTATGGAATATTTCTTTGAACTTCTCACGATAAGAATGAGAGTGGCATCTAATCTCCAATTATGACATTCGCATTCGGCTGACGACGTGGCAGAATGGGTCCTTGGCAGTTGTCGCGCTGACTGATGAGGCTTGTATCGGTAAAAGCGTGTCCATAGAAATGATACGAGTACTTCATCGGCGATCAGACGTATTTGATAGTATACACAACGCTAATAGAAATACAGCCAGTACAGCCTTACTAATGGCCGAGCTTTATTGTAATAGCATTATTGGAATGCTTAGACAATGTTTTATATTCTGTACGTTTGATAGAAGCCTATTCTGAAATATGCTTTCTAATTTATCAAATCAATATTGGTTTTGTTTTATTAAGTTTTCATCATATTAAAAGCTGAAGTCAAAAAGTTAAATCGGTCATATCGACCAATAGAAGACCATACTTGTCTTTCTGTTGATCTACATATCTCACACCACTATCTCCGCAAACAGCAATAAAGTGGGCTTGAAGACTACTCACATATACAAGCAGGTTTATAAACACATGAGAGGTACATCAAAATAACTCTATGTTCGGATGTTGTACAAAAGGCCAATATATGTCTGATACACCAGAGACTGGGTATACATATATACTACATTTGTATTTGAAACAGTGTATTTTCTAATGCGGCATGCTGAATGCTAATATACATTGCTTTCTACCACTTTTATTTTACGATTGCTGTGTTTTATATTCATCGATAACTGTCTAAACGTTGTAATTCATATAATGCTTATTTCTTTCCAATTTTTTTTAACAGTTTTTGCAAAACATAACTCCCTGTATTTACCTCTGAAAATAACAACAAAAGAATAAAAACAATACAAAAAAATTAGCTTTAAAAGTATGTTATAAAACTCATGCTATCGAAATTACACGCTGCAATTGAAATACCTGTGCACCGTTTTAAGCGAAAATTTAACTCGTGGAATTTCTTTAAAATGTGTAATGTCAATTAACTAACTGTTAAAAGATACAAAAGTAAAATTATATCAATTATAATTCTACTGCTATTATGGGAGGTCGACAACAAACGCTTCACAAGAAAACTCCTGCTTGTTTTATGTGTCTCAGTAAATCAGAAGCAATACATATTGTAACAGCCATCTTGAATCCTGAAATAAAAACGTCAGCCTTTTCTTCGACAGTTTATTCCTGATGTTTCCCTCCCATGTGTGTTTTCTCTGAGTACTCTAGTTTCATCCCTCCTTAATACTCTTTCTTTCGCTCTTTCATCCGGGGCAACACGATTAAGTTGAAAAGGGTTTCTTAAGTGTTGAAAATAAAATAAAATAAAAGTCATATATAATCCCCCCATCACCCGAACCCCAAAGAATAAGAAGAACCTGGTCCTGTATGAGTAAATCAAAAGGCATGACGGTCAACGAAAATCATAAAACTAAAACGTTGGCGATATGATGTAACGTTCATCCCCTGTCACTTCAATACCATTGTAATTCCGACAGGTTTCGAAAAGACTGGGGGTCGAAACATATATATAAATAGCAATTGCTCAGATTCACGTTGTCCTTTCTAAACAAGTTTTTTTCTTGAAATCTACTGAGAGTTGTCCGACGATAATACCGACAAGTTGACTACAGCTATCCCCACAATCTGCGTTGCTGGTAGAGGGGTATGTTTATCAAATATATTCCGCGTGAAATTGCTATATTTTGATTATTAAGTTAAGCCTGTAATCATATGTTGACATTTAGAATAGCATAGCATCAATTATTGACTTTATAAAAATTGTACCTCGAAAGTACATTTACTATATTGCAGAACTTATATGTATGTGTTTGTGACGTCATGGAGTGCAGTGCGAGAACTGTCAGATAGTGAAATCATTAAAGAATTAAATCCTGGCCTCTGAGTTGGAAAAATAACAGCAGTTAAATAGCTATAAGTACAGTTGCGATTTTAATGGAAGATAGTTATCAAAATTATTGACTTAGTTATTTTGATACGTCTTTACTATTTTTTTTATTAAAAAACTACAGTAACTGTGTCTATACATGTATCGCAACAACGTATCTAGTGTCCACTTTGATAGCTTTTAGTAAATGTCTAATGGCTTTAACTCATGCACCCCTGAAGATGAATTTGAACTCCTCCAATTCAAAGGTGGGAATAGTTCATTTTGAAATTGCAGGGGTGAATGAGTTAAACATTAATGAAGTCATTCTTGACATGAATAGGCAGTGTCAAATATGTTCACTTTCAGAAACCATCAACGTACTTTCTTCTATTTTATGTTTTGTTTGTCGGGTGATTAGATACGATTCGTAAACGGATAGACAAAAATGAAAATCGATGTAAGCAATTTGAAATTGAACACGCAAAGCTTCGTGTTATTTTTATTTCCATGGTATGCGCGTCTGTACTATATCTGTTTTAAAATATTTTAACGCATTATCGGGTTGGTAAAGTTCCCGAGGATATACGTTTCTTCATGTCGGAAACAGATGTTTTGATGAGATACCTAAAGATTTATTACAGTGTTAAGATGATAACTTACAATTTCAATGACGGTTTCTTACAGCATCTACTCCCAAACAATCTACAGTAGTACATCGTTTACTTGTATTTACATAAAATTTCCAAGCAATCTTGATGAAACGAATTGAAACTCGATTCTATACATAACTTTTTCACAACTGTAAATACCATTTTAATTACAATCAAGTAAAACGTTATCGAGAAAATAAATCTGAAACGAACCTACTCTTGTTTAGTTGCAAGTTATCAGAACAGTGACAATATAATAAGTTTGTGTTCACTCAATACGCGCATGAATGCCCATGAATTATATAGCTCTCATAGAAAAATAGCTTTAATGGCTCGACAACACAAGCAAATGGAAATTAATCACCAATTAAATTGCTGTTATAAGTAAGATATCAACCCATGTCCTAAATATACATAGAGAAATCATATCTCGAGAACTGAAAGTCAGAAACGTGGAAATATTGCAGTGACATAAGTACAAAATAATGTTAATTTTTACCATATTCGATTTATGGCCCTTTATATATTCTTAGGAAAACAACACGGTCTTTTCATGTATACATTTGATGTATGCGTGTGTCAGCGATAATGCAAAGCTGGGGAATCCTACTACAAAAACGATACTCACTAAGGGATAATTATACATCTGTTTGTATACTTGTATAATCTACTTGATTTCGATAGTCAAGCTTTTTAATGTATCTATTGTTAGATGCCATAACCTTTTACGTGTTTTATCTACCTTTAATTGGCACTCAAAATATCTTCTGTGTTGATGGGCCGTTGAGAACTCAATGAATAAATAAACTTATATAAATGCATTTTTGGGCGGGATGGTAGACCGCCGATGGTCTTACTTCCTTATAAAACCGGAGATAACGAGAGAAAACCATACGTGTTCGGGCTGGTGAACCTTTAATCGTTTCACTTCCAATCTTTGAATCGAACCTCGGCCGTCTTGGTGAAAGACTGCGGTGATCAATGTTTTCCGTAGTTCAACTGTATATCCGCTAAAGGTTTTCACTCATGCTGTTATCATAATTCATTTAAAGAGTTAAACTTCGTGCTTAATAATGCAGTAAATTGACCAAAACATTTCGATTCTGAAACTGTATCCTTAAAACACAAGTGAATAATTGTTATTTCATCGTTGTATTTATCCGATCATACGTTTCGGAGTAACGTTGCTGGTCACCAGAGTTCACTGTTGCTACGAATACGTGTAAAAACTTTAATTAATAAATTATGGCTTACCTGTATTAGGACCAAGCAGGTGATCCTGTAGTCCATCGTTACCGAAAAATAGATATCACAAGTCGGCTGGTCTCTGTCCAAATTGTAAACAATAGTAAATGCAAGGTATTGGCTTTGTGATTCAAGTCCCAATTCAGCAGTTAGTCTATATGTACTTGGAACTCATCAATTATGGCAATCACAATGTAGTTCACGTATACTGGAGCACTGTCCTCATACTTTAATATCCTCTCCTAGAGAAGTCTACATGTGTTATGTGCAACACATTTATACACACGTTTTAATGAATATGAAGCAGCACATCACAGAGGCCACCCGACACAGTAACACGGCAACTGTGTATTGGAGAACACAAACAACCAAGAAGTATACAATACGTCTTTAGTAAAACACAATACGACGTATTCGGAAAATTATTATTTTATGAACAGATCGGGTGTCGTCCTCATTCGATATGACACAGTAATGTAGTCAAAAGATGTATTTGTAACGGTCAGTTTACTGATAAGTTCATTACTCTGCCAACGTGTGAACTACCGGTCAAATGTCCTTTTTGAGACGTTGATCGATATGAGTGTGTATGAATCGTGGTAATATTTCACTGTTTTATGTATATGGCTGATTCATTTCTCAGACACACGATTCTCATATACAATAACAATTAGTCTTTTTATAAAGTGCGATATTACAATCTATTGTCTCAGCTAATACATGTAATGCCTAGAAATATACGTCTTGCCACTCAAACGCAATAGCGTATTTTCAATGTATCTGGATGCGTGTGACAATTTCATCTTGTGATTTATCCGTCAAAGACGCTAATGGCATCAATCATTACACTGTAGATGAATGTGTTACAAAAGATCAGAGGTCTCCAAAGCAACGGTCGCTAGGGTCCTCACAGCATTGTAGCGGTTGCCGGTTGATTTGAAGTGCCGGGTGCGGTCAATAATGCAGTTTGGACAATAATGTTGATCACCAAAATGCATGTTGCATATCATCTTTCCTTTGTCTTTTCCTCCGTTTTTTACTTAGTGTCCTTGGCGTTTATGCCAGCAGGTGCATTTTAAAACTCGCCCCTCTGAAACAGACAAACATAATATTCCATTTGACGTAGTTCTGTTGACATATATACTACCACAAAAGCATGCCTTTGAGTAAGTTCTAACATTTTCAGTAACAAAATAAGTTCCAGGTACTGTCAAACACAGGCGAGAAAATCAAAAGGTTCACGCGACAATGAATAAAGCATCATTTAGTTCATATACAGTCGGCAAATCTCATTAAGTAAAAACAGTACTTCTTATATAAGAACCATATCGGCAATATGTACACATATAAAAGATATCAATGCAGTGGATCAACATTTTACCTCCTACAGTGTCACGCACAAAAGCACGACCATTAGGAAATGATTCCATAAAAGTAACCTACCTGTACATTAAGAAAACAAAAGGAAGAAAAACAAAATGTTGGATGGAGGATGAGTTTTGTCCACAAAATAATTATGTGATACTTTTATATCTGGATAAGAAAACCTCAAAAATTGAAGACGGAAGCCTAGTGAACCAGCCCAAAAACACAGAAAAGGAAGGAAAGAAAATGGAATAAAGAGGTTTCAAGTGGTGAAGGAAAATTGGCTGGTTACTGGAACATCTAGTCCTAATAGACATTGAAAATATAAAGCTTGAAATAAATACAACATTGTGCCTTATTGTAAATCTTACCGTACACAAAACATATATGCTGTTGTTGACTTGTTCGGTAATAGGATGGAGATCGATCAAACACTCGGCATGTTACATTCTCTTAACGAGTGTGTCGGAATCTAATACGTTACGACGGGCTGAGACGATTTATGTGGACTGTAAATGGAATTTAATTGCACAATGACAAGGCGACATAGACAAACATATAGACTGTTCTTATTATATGTTAGACGGGGCTTTAATTTAAGTAAATACTGGTTAGAATAGCACTTTCAGAATGTACTCAAATGATATCAGTAAGCGTCAGGATGATATCGGAACATGTGAACACTATAAATGTCGTCATGCAGTATTTACAATGTATATTTAGACTTTAAACCGATGTCTCATTGATACTGCTCAACCCAACCCGAGTACTTTACACATACTATTAACATCGCCTTTTTTTTGAGAAACAGACACAAAAAAGGAGTGCACGAAAGTATACAGCGAAATAGTCAGTTATTTCTAATAATAAAATAATAATGCAAGGTTTTAATATACCGCTTTATCACAACCTAGTTCGTAGGTCGTCTCAAAGCGTTTCACAAATGATTATTCGTGGTAATATGGCCTTTGCAACCAGCCAATATCTTTCTCAACTCCATGGGGAGCATACAGCCGGTGCTGCCATTTCGGCGCTACAAATGTAACAGCTAGCATTCAACAATTCCAGCACTATCCAACTACGTACTCATTTACAGCTGAGTGGACTGGAACACGCGGAGCAAAGTAGACTACCGTGCCTCCTAAAAATTGATTTTACTACAAATATTCTAAGTTTTCCAGTCCTGTGTTATAGACTAATTCAGATAACTATTCAAAAATCTTTGACAAATTGATTGTACAAAAAAAGTTTATTTTTATATTAGGCACATCATAAGATTCGTTTCGAACTGTCTAAAATCAGACCATTTGATTAGTGCATAAGGTGCGCTCGCCAACTTATTACGTATGAATATATACTATCATATCCTGTCTAGGTATATCAGTGAGGTAGCACTATAAAGTCAGCATAACATTATTCTTGCTATCGAATGGAAACAGATTAACCAACATACCGCCTCTTGCACCAGCACATGCACTTGCGAAAGCAAGTCCTTACAGTCAACAAAGCGAAGCAAATCAATATATCTGATAAAACTATGTACAATTTCTGTTTGGGAAAGACATATAATCGAGAAACGTTTTACATTTCTGAGTCGTATTAATCTACATCGACAAGTCGAATTGAAAGAAGACAACAATAGGAAATTATATTTTTTGATTTTATTTTGTTAAGCGTCCTACATGTATTAACACCTACAACCATTAAAGGATTTTATTTTATTTTTTTTATTTTTACATACGTAACGGCGGAGCAACACAATGGAAGTCATTAGGATCAATATACGAAAAAGACACCAAACAAACGCCGAAGTAATAGACAAAAGTCAACTTGAATATTGAAAGTTGGTGACTCATGTTTGCTTTAAAAGCGCAAGAGTTTTCAGAAAGTTTAAAATTGTCCTCCATATGTGTTACATCACTGGAGTTTAAATCTAAACCTATTTTTCAAACAGAAACGCAGAATTTACTAAACAATGAACGAGGTTCGATGTGTCTCGAAACATAAAAACAGAACACCAAAACACATGAATATCAACATATTTTGTCGAGGAAGAATTAAATAAACGTAATAAAAGATAGAGAAAACGGCCAATGTCGGAATAAAACTTAGTTTTACAAATTCTTGTTACAAACAGTTATTACTATTAATTCATATAAGTGCAAATACAGTGAATGTAAAATGAATGTTATTAATGTGTTATTTATACACCCCCCCCCCCCCCCCCCCCCCCGGATTTAATGAATGTTTGGCCTTTGGTTAATTTAGGGTCAACATCCTATCAATAGCTAACGTGAGTAAAGAACGTGCCTCCATGTGTGTAATACTTGACAGTGTGCCGGAGGCGGTATGTTGGTGTGTGTAGCATGGATGCGGACCATATGATTTTTAATACCGAAGGCACTAAGCGCTGTACTCCACCAAGTCAAAGGGGATATATTGTGCGTTAGTCTGTAAGAAGACCGTGTATAAGGTATCTCGGGGAACCTTCCAATCGCAGCATTAACTATCTATATATTTTCTCCTCGTTTCGACGGTGTCTCCCTAGGAACCTCGTTTGACCCAAGCTGTTGTCAGGACATACCACGTGTACAACAAACCCAACTAAACCAAACCAAACGCACAACCATGCGTTATAGACTAACGCAATAGTTGTACATTTCAGAGAATCCAGTAGAGGCTGAGCAAATGGCACAATGTAAACATTAAGATATATTATTTCAAGGAACTGACCGTTTCCATTCAAATAACAGTAAAACATCGACCTACATCCGTCAACGATCGCTTCCGGTATCGGCACCACACTGTCGTTATGAGAGCGTAATCTCTATTATGTCTCTGGCTTTACAGCTCAACCACGCGCGGGCGAGATTGTATACTAAATACATTTGGTGTCCCGTGTGACATCGCGTTCAAATTAAACAAATGCACGGTATTGCCAAGCCATCCTGAAAACTGATAGTGATATATCCGAATCATACACGTTAAAGGAATTAAGCTGTGTTTCCCCTATACAGAAAACATAAACTCTTGAAATACTATCGAGCACGGATGTAACAAATAAGAATGATCAGTCGTTAGATATATTGTGAAGCACAAACATGTAATAATTCAATTAATATCTAGATCGATATTACAGTTTCCGATTCACACCGATCTCGTTTGGTTTGGTTGTATAAGATAAAGCATCCTATTAGCAGCAACGGACATATAAGGACGTGCCTTCATGAGTGTATTTATGCGTGTTTATGTGCTTGAAGCAGGTTGTGTTGGTATATTTTGCTCCTACAGACAGCCCGGATCTTGTCCTCGTCTTGTAATATAAATCAGTGAAATATGTTGATTTATATTTACGCCTAATTTCATATGTAACCAGTGTTACAGGTATGCAAGGCATCGTAAGCATTATTGTATGTCAACATGGTTTAAATAAATTAGGGGCAGCGGTGGCCGAGTGGTTAAGGAATCTGACATTCTGCTACCACTAGCCCTCCACCACTGGGTCGCGGGTTCGAAGCTTACGTGGGGCAGTCGCCAGGTACTGGGCGCACGTCGGTGGTTTTTTGTGGGTACTCTGGCTTTCCTCCGCCACAAAAATCTGTCAAGTCCCTAATTGACCCTAGCTGTTAATAGGACGTAAATCCAAAACAATAGAACAAAACTTTAATAAATTACACAATTATGCCATCGACTCAACATTTTAATACTATTGGACCTGAAAGTTGATAAAGAAAAAATCCAAATAAACCAAGGAGTAATGTAAATGAAATGCATAATCATTATGAACCTGCGCCAAAGTCAGAAAGCTTTCATCAGGTTTTGATTTAGTGCTTTATAGACACCACGGGTTGCACCTGTCATGACTAGCACCTGACCTTTCCAGTAAACTAAAGCAATAACTGCAAAATAAATACCACTGAAATATTCATGTTACAAGGCACGAAAAGGATAGTCTTTTGTCAGAAATGAAACCTTTAAAGCGTGGTCTAAATTGTTTAGATA